CAAATCCCTTAGTTTTTATTTTTATTTTTTGAGGAAGTACAATTGCCTCAAATAGTTTAGGTATGTGCATATGTAGGTGTATTTGAATGCAATTTAAGGTTATTTCATAATGCGTAATTACAGCAATGTCAATTACTAACAGCTAACCGATAGGTGCTCTTGCTGCCATAACCAAAACAACTTAACAACAATAATTTAAGCCTCTTCGCATCACCTGCACAAATCACTTTGGTATTTACTGCAATTTCATAATATCGCAACATACCACCAAACGAACTAAAGCCTTAAATTGGCTGAATTTTTTTCGCTCAAATGCACCTTAATAGTATTAAGAAAATCCATAAACAACTCGGGCAGGTGTGTGGTGCGCTAGAAAATCCCAGTAATTGTCTGTACATGTTTCCATACACACATTCAGTTGTTTTTGTGCATGTGTAACGAAGAAACTGTGCATGTTGTTGCAACATAAAATAGTGCAGCGCTTGATTGACAAAAAATTTGGAGCAATCTCAAACGAAAACACTAAGAAAATAAAATTTTGGAAAATAGCTTACCGTAAATTAGCGAATATTATGTCGAATATTTATGTAACGAATAATGCAATCAACTAATATGCAGCTTAAAAAAGCCAACTTATTTTTTTTCTAAAACATATACGGCAGTTTGGGATATTCATGTTATTTTATGCAGTGAAGAAATATGCCTTTTATTTGAAAATTAGTTCACTCTGTGGTTCATCTGTTCTTTGCTTTTTTTGCGTAGACAAAAGCAGGTTCGTTGCTTAAGTCTTTTGTATCAACGCGCCATTTGTACAATGTGCGGCATGAAGCGCATGTGGTAAAATTTTGAATACCATCAACCACAATGTATCCTCAATTGTCCAAGCTATGATTAGCCATCAGGTAAATTACGTTCAAACAATGAGTATGCATTGAACAAAGCCTGGAATTTTAATGGTAGTTTTCGGTTGAATTACGCTTGCCTTATGTAAAATATCAAAAAAAAAACGCTAACCCACAAATTAGGTTATGCTCGAATTAGTAATAAATTTTAGGCATTTCTGAAATCGATGTGGTTTGGAAGATATTTTTAAAGAACTCTAATAGGTTAACTTAGGTTAGGTTACGCGGAAGGTTACACAAAGGCCCATTTCGATGTCAAAATGGGTTTCCCAATGCCTATCCATGTCTTTAAATCTCACTGTTTCTATACCGAGTCCTAGAAGACCCTCGAAAAGAGTTTTCCTTAAACTGTCTAGGCACTCGTTGGAGCCCAGAAATTTAGGTGTTTTCTTCGGATTTCGGTATTCTATCTCCTATTCGTCTCTATTGCTTTTCCAGAAATCGTTTTAAGGGCTCCAAATCTGGTGGCCATGTGGCCAATGACCCCGTGTCCCATTAGCATTTCTCATATTTCTGGATTATCTGGTTACCTTCTCAATTTGTGAAAAGAGGAATCGGAGGGAATTTATAACGATTCGGACAGCTTCCCTTAGTCCTATCTTAGCTCATATCCGCGTTCTCATTTCCCGGAAAACCACAGCGACCTGAGATCCAATATAGATTGATTATATGTTGTTTAAGAGCCTTTAGGAATTTCGAATTCTTTACCGCATAACGAGTTAGTTTTTGCTGGCAGCTTAACTGTAAACAACGATTGCAGGTTTAGATGGAGCCAGGTGGATCATGCTTACTAGATTTGCCGCCATATAAATTGACTATATCTTAGTCTGAGAAACTCTGAAGTGATATGGGCGTAAATATATAAGACTCCCTAAGAAATAATGAGAGAAGACGCCAGATACTGTTACAATATCCATTTTGTAGCCATCCGGGAAAATGATAAGTTCATCATCATTTAGAACGATATTTAACTGCCAGTCCCTTCTGTCAGGAAAATGGATTCCAGAGCTATTGGACTCCCCCCAGTTTTTTCCAATAGCAGTATAACAGAAGTAGAGAGCATTAAGCGTCTTTCTTCTGTGCTCATCTCCTTTTACAGGAGAGTTTAGAGTCGAAAATAATTCCAAAAACGTTACCTTTTTTGACAAATTTAAGATTTGCGCCATTGAGTGGCGGGTTTTGATATTCGTCTACCTTATATAGCGTGGTGCAGAGAACGAGTTGGGTGTTGGGAGCTCTTAAGCCCGCGACCGTTCCTTTATGCTCACACTGCCAGGTCGATAAGAGAGCATTGTAGAATCTTTCTTACGATCGAGATGAAATTACCTATGACCAGAATGACTAAGTCATATGCATATCCAAGAGAGCTTTCGACATACAAAGCAGTAATTCGATTAACAGGAGAGAAACCCCCTTTGAGGGTTGCTGCGTGCGGCTTTTTTTCTTACCACTGCGGTTCCCAAGGGTGCACTGATTCTTCATATACGCAACTTATGGTCGATCCAGAGTATGATCAGTGGATCCAGTCCTAACGCAGCCATGAGAGAGTTTATGAATGCCAAATGAATATAGCTTAAACTGCCTTCCACGTCCAAAAAGGCTTTCAGCGGATATTTCTTGTGGCATTGCGCTAGCTCTATACTCCCAACAAGCGTAGGGTGATCTGGAGACTCAGAAGTCTCTCCATTATCTGCAGCATAAATTATGAGATACTGATGGTCCATCCATCCTCCCTGGTTTAGAAATAAAGACCACTCTTATCTCCCTCGATGGCTTCGGTATAGTGTACAGGCTAGTACATAGTCGTCTGCCAGAAATTTATTTTGGCGATTATTCGTTGTAGCATGGCTGGTGTGAGTCCATTCGGTGACGAAGATTTTTAGGGTTGAAAGGATCTGATAGCGTCAGTGACGATTTTTTTTTACTAGACTGAATTGCCTATAAATTTTATGGGTTGCTGTTACGAGACATACTGTATTCCCTGCATTGCCATACGAAGTGGACGTCCATTATGTTTTCTGGAATTTCTAGACGGTTTTCGGTGTGCCATCCCTTTTTCAGAATACCGGGAAGAGCCGGATTCTTCAAATGCATATTCTCATTTGCTTGGCCTCAGTGGTAGTTTCGAGGTCACTTTTATCTCTTTCTTAAACGTGTTGATACTGCCACGGCATTCGTTCCAGTCCNCACTTTTATCTCTTTCTTAAACGTGTTGAAACTGCCACGGCATTCGTTCCAGTCCCCCGCTTTGGTAAAATTAGTACTACTGTCCTACTGTCCTAAGTTTCCCTAGCTTCATGGTCCAACATTTGGCGTGTCGATTTGAGGGTTTCCCCTCAAGACAGCTTGCCATATTTCCCTCCTTGAGAGAAACCATTAGATATAAAACCGCTGCTTCCAATATGGGTCAGACGCAGACCAGGGAGCTACTCCGTTGTTATATCTACTATTATCTTCAAACTCTTTCAATTAAAAGTCGCCGCAATTTTAATTTGATTCCTTTATATTCGTACATTGCGAATATTTACCAAGCTGTTTAATTAAAACTGTCTCCATTTGCTGAGTTTTGTGATCGACTGACTTGTGCGATAAACTGTACTCTTCCTGCTCAATGAATAAATACACAACAATTTTCATTAAAATTTTGGCTCAACTACTTCACTCATCAACTCACTCACGAGGTTTTTTTGGTTCAACTTTATTACAAGACTGCACAAACCACTTTACTATGCTCATATCTCAGCAACAAATGTTGCCGCCGCCAATATTGCGACACAAACTTGCAGCAACATTTGAGCGACAACAACCAGTTGCAGCCAAAATTGGTAGCAACACCATAGACGCCTGCGGTTAATACAGCAGCAGCAACACCAAAACAAACATTGCAAACAACCGGCTTGGCAGTCAAGCGGCAAAGCAGCCAAACGACCATCGAACCGCTTCGCTGCCACCAGCCACCAGCCATGGAGTCAGTCAACCAACAAGCCAACTGGGTAAGTAAACATCTGCAGCAGCTCTACCAGCTACCAACAGCGCGCATAAGTTACTTACGTTGCGACGCACGGCTTTTCATTGCTTCAGTTTGTTAACGAAACGCAAACGATGCAGACGCGTCCCCACGGTAGCTGCGGCAAATTAGTAGATAACTAAAAAACAAATAAATAGTGCCTTACATTTTGTCCATATTTGTGATTGAATGGACTGGTTGGGAATTTGCATAAAAACTTGTAACTCGATTGGAAAACTGCTTTGTTAAACAATTCATGTGCCCCGCTCGGTGACAATCAACCGGACTGCAGCAAACTAGTAAAAGTGACTTCCTCGTGTGCCTTTCAATTAAACTGATTGCAACTTGCACTAAAACAATTACTTGTGAGTTAACGAAAAAAAAAATATAATAAAAATTGCTTTCGATTCTTCGCCAAACCAAAAGTCAGTGGTGTGTGTCCAAGTGGTTGCAAACGGATTAGAAATCTGCAACTGAGCCAGTATTTCACCAACACCGCCAGCCACCCACCGCAGTTGGCGCGCGCATGCTTGTTGGAAGCCATTGACGCCTGGCAATTATTTACAATAATTTTCGCCAAACGCAGTGAGTGCATAAAACGTGAAAAGCATTCAACGATTGCAACGCGGTGAAAATCGTTTTCGTTTTCCTGGCAAGGGGACGACGACGACTGACGCGTTCAGCTAGCGTTAAAAAGCATTTTATTTACAAAGAAAAAAAAAACCAAATTATTTGTACAAAAAGTGCTACCACCTTGCGTTTGATGGATTAATTAATAACAGTAGCAACAAAACAGTAGCTAAACTTAAACAAACGAACCGCAAATTAAAGCAAATTTAGTGCGAAAATTGGAGTAGAAGAACAACGTAAAAAGTTAGTGCGCGAAAAAGAAAGCAAAAGCGTTGCAGAAAAAATTTTAACAAACACAGCTTGCAAAAGTAGGTGAAACTCTGAAAGAAATTGCGAAAAATTTAAATTTTTTAGAAACGAAAAACAACCGTAGTTTCAGCCCGCGTGTGCATGTGTATAAATAACTTTAACGGGTGAAAATTAAAAAGATACTAGAAGAAATTGATTGCAATACTGCAAAAGTAGTGAAAAAATTTCGCCTAATTTAAAAGTAAGATTGAATAAATAAATCACGCAGCAATTTATTAAAAGAACTCAGTCATCGAACTCATAAGTTGGGTATGTATTTACTCATGTATACGAGTACGCTATGTGGATAATTATTCAACTAGATTAATTAAGTAGCAAAAATGGGTATGAACCATTTTAATCAGGAACTGTAACAGTTAGAACTTTTATTAAAAAATCGCTCTTTAACAATTATTTTTTGACTTTTATTTAATTACTCCTTAAATAACCGTTATCTTTTGACTTTTATTTTATAAATCCAAAATAACAATTATTTTTGATTTTTAAATTATATGTCTTACATAATAGTTATCGAAGACTTTTATTTATAAAAGTCTAAATAAAAATTAGTCACTGACCTTTATTTTTTAAATCATACTTACAAAAGTCATTTGTATAGTCGTCGTAAACTTTTGTTTCCCAACACCTTCTTAACTGCGAAAAATGTTAATGACTTTTATACGAATGATTTAAAAAGTAAAAGTAACTGACTATATTTATTGATGACTTTTATAAATAAAAGTCTTCAATACCTTTATCTAAGACATATAATATAAAAATTAAAAATAATTGTTATTTTGGATTTAGAATATAAAAATCAAAAATAATTCTTATTTTTTTTTTTAATTTTGCATAGAAAGTGCAAATAAAAATTTATTTTAAAATTTGAGTCTCGGTGAAAAAAAGAAATCGATCGGTATGTATCACTTAGTTGTAGAACATTTCCTTCATAGTGAAATTTTCCATGACAGTTTTCATCAATAACTGTTATGTTCGGTCCCTGATTTAAATTTTAGCAAATGGATTAACTGAAGTATTTTGAAGATGACATACACAAGTATTAGAAAGAATTTAAGAATTTAATTTATAAATTTCATTGTGACTAAGAAACTGCATTGAAAAAATTTTTAAGGTATTCACAGATTTAAAAAACAAGTATCCTTCATATCAAAAATCGGCATGCATTAGGGTGGACCTTAAAATATTAACATCATGCGGTAGCCCTTTTGGTTTGATCTTCGTACAAAATAAAAACATTCACGGAAATTATAAAACTTAAAAAGTGTTGGAAAAATTTAATTTCTTTTCTGAATCGCGAAAATTTTGCAAAATTTTGACTATGAGTTGTTATAACTCAGCGAGTTTATGAATTTATACGAATAATTTGCAATAATTTATCAGTTCACAAACCAAAATTTTGTCGAATTTTTGCTATCTTCTATTTATTTTCACAAAATGGACTCACAGTTTAGAAAAAAAGGAAAGCTTGATCTTTCGAAGGTTTGACATTGCCTGCCGAGGCACGACTGCTAGTAAAAGAACTTTGATCTAGGAATCGAATCCTGGTCCTACCGAGTGATAGTACTCACCTCTAACTATTCCGTTACGGCGCGCAGCGGTGCCAAATTGGAATTTACTGTTCCAGAGCCTTCAGTTTTCAATCGATTTGATTATTATTATTTTTGTCTTTAATTGAAACTTATAAAACTTAGAATATTCTTATGTGGCTTTAAATAAATGCTGCACGATAAAAATTAATTCAAAACCATTACAGGTTTCACAAAATGAAAATGTGCATACATAAGTAAATTTAAAAAATTTTGTTAAGAATTTTTAGTCAATTTTAAGGTATGCAGTTTTATAACCCTTTCCGGTTCAAATTTCAAGTGGCCATTTTTTTTGCTTCCGGTTCACGCCAACTGTCCCAAGCCCGAACCCAAAATTCGAAAAATATGATTTCCCTAGATTTGTATACGGGCTATCCGATGAGGCTATGAAAGCATGAAAAATGCTAGAACTCGTTTTCCAAAAAGGATGTGTATGGTGAGCGATTTGTAGAGCGTTTGAGCCTTTTAAAGAGATTGCTCCGTTTTTCTCTCCATCCCAAATTGACAACTGTTAGCAAAACTTTTTCAGTTTTTTTTCTACAGACTGATGTTTATTGTCGGTGGTACTCATACTGGTTCCTAAGCCAAGAATTTTATTTATTACTTTTTTTTTTTTTGAAGTTATAAATATGCAGCTGCCACCGATCGAAAAGAAATAAAGGCGTTGTAAACATATTTTAATTTATACCCAGCTTTTAATGGTTACTTTAACTGATTAAATAATTTAAGTTTACCTCTTTTAATAGGTGGCAACTGTCTTTAATATTCCAAATTTTCAAACTACCACTCATTCGGTTGACTCCCTTATTTTAATATTTCATACAACTTATGAATACTTTAATTAAATTCGACTTTTCAAACATGTGGCAACCCTGTTCAAAATATTTTAAACCACAGCATCTTTCGACTGGCAGCGATATCGTTATAGATATTTCTATCTTCTTACTGCCTTTATTTAAGTTCAACTGAATTTTTTAAACAGCCGCCAACGTATTATTAAGAAATATGTAAAGCCTTTTCAAAACCATTTCGATCGATACCCATATTGTAATAATTTGTTTGACTTTCATTACTTATCAGGTGGCAACCCTTTTCAAAAAAGGAAAACTCGAGCAAAACAGCTTTAAAATTTTGAATTTAAATATAAATACTCCCATAGTAAAAGTGAATACATATTTTATTCAAGTTAGACCTTAGTAATCGATACAACTAGAAGAGTTAGCGATAATCTCTGCAAACGTAACTCAATTGGTCGTGTGCACACACCCTAAGCAAATGCTTTTTCTTCAAATTTCATGGCTTTTACTCAATTTTTTCTACTAAATTTAAGAGAAAGGTATGAGAGGTACTGTTCTTGCGCATGCGTACGTTTGCAAAATCATGACGAAGTGATTTTGTATGAAAAATCATTTATGTGCATATATTTTAATCAAAGGATCATACATAAAAAATATCCCTTTTCTTATATTAAACGACAGGAAATAACTTGAATTTTTTATTAAAGGAAACAAAGACAAAATCATTTCATCAATTTCTTGCTCTAAAGAACTTCCTAAAATTAAAGTAATATCAGCAAGTCCTAATTTGTTCGAGTACTTGAAAGGCTCAAAATTCACGCAAAATAAGCCATTGTTTATCGTTATTTATACGACAGAAAAGAAAGTGTTCACTTACGAAGAGGAACCTGTTGATAAACTTGAGATTTTTTCTTTGAAACGATGCATATCTCTTTGAAAAAATGTCATTACTTCTCGTGCAATACGCAGTTTTTTGAAGCTCTAAAAAATACAACAACATTTAAGCAAGGCATTCATACTGAAACGTAAGATGAATTCTAGCACAAAATAAAATCTATGTGGTTATGGCAATTAATAAAATCTAAAAACAGACGGCAGCGTTGATCCGGATTAACTCCTGACTTAATCCGGATTAATTCCTGACTTAATCCGGAATAACTCTGACTTAATCCGGATCAACTCTGGAATTAACCGCAGTTGCTTTTATAGTTCAACAACACCACGCACACTGGCCCATGTATTTTACGTGCGAGATGCTTTAGCATACCCATCTGGCGCTTCTTTTAATATGGCGAAAAATTGCCGGTGTTTTTATGTCAGTACTTTATTTAGGCAAATGCCAGGCAACAGCAAAAGCATTCAAGCAAAATTCGGAACAACAAGTATGGAAAATTGTATTTAATTAGTAAGAAGTTTGGTTCCAGCTTTTACATCGACCACAAATAATTCAAAAATTTAGCGTTTAATGCATTCTAGAATGCCTTGTTCAAGTACTAAAATATATTACCAAGACCTTTTTAAATTATTATATTTTTTTTAATTTTTAATTTTTTTTATTTTTAGTAGCTTCAAAAAGCAATTTTGAACATTTATTTGTTTAAATTTTTTGCATAAACACTACTAAAAAATTATTCCATTTTTTAATGGCCACTAGCTCATTATTTTCAAGCACATACATATATATATGTATATAAGTAGCTATGATTAAATATGTGTTTGGTATTTAAAAAGCGAAAGCCAAAATCACTATGTCTAAAGGGGATTAAAGCAAGAAAGCCACAACCTTGTAATTGTGCAGTTTCAGGCATTTGCACTAAAGAAGATAAGCATGAATGCCAAGGTTTATTGTTGAACCCACTGAATGGCCAAAGAGGTTTTAATTCGGTATTTGCATATGTATTTATGTACATACAGTGTAACTTAGCGAGGAAATTTTAAAATATGCGTACTTTTTAAATGCTCAGCTACCGAAAATCGAATCGAATAAACCGAGTTCAAAACGGACGGCAGAAAGCATGAAAGATGTTTCTACAAGAAACCACGAATACCAATGTGAAAATTAAAACTGAAGCGCGACATTTCACTTGCATTGCCAATAAAATTTTGCAGATGAAAACAAGTGTTGTGCAAGTAAATAAATTTGAATAAAAGCGAAAACTGGGCAAGAATCCGGCACGTCTATTGGCATATTGCCATAGAAAAACACTCACCGTAACAACAACAACAATTAAACACAATGACACTTTTACCATTTCTTTACTTTCGCAATTTTCATTTGCATTATTAACTGCTTTCATTTTCAATTGATAATTTCATATAATTAAATATTTACCTAATAAATATGCTGTAAACAATTTCATTTCGTTTTATTGAACGCAACTTAAAAAGAAAATAAAAAAACACTAAAATGGGAATAAACATGCATACCTAAATATGTACATATGTACATATGTACATAAATATGTGAGTTATAAAAAATTTAATTCACGCAATCAAAGAAATCAGCATTATATACCGAATCGCACATTTATCGATAATAAAATTAAGAAAAAAGTTGAAGAGTAGTTGACGATCAAAGCGAAATAATTTCATAAGTATTTAGTTATGTATTTATTTATGTACTTGCAGCTACGTGTTTATGGCAGCGAAATGTCACTGGCACGCAGTTAATTGTATGTTTTCGTGGCTGTGTCGACTTTAATATATATGCATGTGTACATACATATATATATAATGGCTTAAATATGTATGTATAGGTAAGTAAACGTGTGCAAACATTAAAGTTAAATACTTTCTAATTACAACAAAAAATAGCGTCAATAACAATGAAATGGTCAAATGAAGTGCAGTCAATTGCGAAAAGTAT